TTTTTTGCTTTAACGTCAGAAGAAACCATCGAAAAGCAAAGAAGAAAAAAAACTAGAAAAAGAAGGAAGACAGAGGAAGATGAATAAGAGGGGTAAAATGCTACAAATAGTTCCGGGCTTCATCAATACCATCAAGTAAAAAATATGTTCTTGCTCTGCGTTAATCCATCTGATCGATGTTTGATGCCGCCAAAAGATGTGTTGACAATTTGGCAACCAAAGACCTTTACCGGTAGAGCATCCACGAAAATTATGGCATTACTTAAAAAGCGGAAACCCTACCAGCGTTACCATCAATCCGATTAATCTTTTTTTGGGTTGGTCGAACAAAATGTTTCCAGCATTTATTGCTACTATAAAGTATTTTGGCTACCTTCGCCAAAATTCACGGCATAGGCTGTCAACGCTATCCGCCCCTTTAACAGCAGTAGTAATCAAATTAATTGCATTCGAACAGCTGAAAAAGGGTAATGGAATCCGGAACGAAGGAAGAAGGGGAAGAAGAATAACAAGTAAGGAATGGTAATGATAAGGAAAAATTCTTTATATTATAAATATATAAAACAAATAGGTCTTTTTGTTGTGTGAAAAAAAAAAAGCACGAAAATTTTTCAATGGTTCTCACCTTCTCTTTCTTTACATTACATTTTAAATGGATCGACGACACCAAAATAGAGTTGAGATAAACCAAAATTTTTTAGGGACGGTACGAAGTGAAAAAAGATAAAAAAAGAATGAAGCTAAAGAAAATGTGAACATAAAAGGTTTGATATTAATGTCGTGATTAAATAATTTTTACTGACAGCCTAATTAAATTATTTGTAATTTATTTTTCTTGCTTAACTTTATTTTTTTTTTTTTTTGTTTCACGGAAAAGCGGAAAAGTGAGGACAAAAAACAGGGGTATCTTCCTCTCATTTTTTAGTTTTTTTAGTTGATTTTTTCTTCTCTCTCCGTATCGATAAATTGGTTAGTTACACAAAACTAACAATGACGACAACAACAACGACAAAAAAAAAATGAAAAAAATGTCAGAGAAAGAAAAAGTGGAAAAAAAAAAGCTGCTTAAAAATTCTGCTCATTTTTAGTCGTTTAAAACGGAAGAAAAAAAAAAGAGTGCAAAAGAGATATCAGACTTTGTTTTTTTTTTGCATTTCT